AGATCATTATGGTCTGATCAGAAATCAGACAAATGGCTGCAACACATTTGTGCCACGTGTTGGTCAAAAGAAAAAGTAATCGCGAGACACCCGAAGACGTCGGCGGAATGTCCTTTAAAGTCGGGCAATTCCAAACCCGAATGAATAGTTCATAGCGACTCCGAAATTATTAATTTTAGCGACACTGATAGTAGTATTTTGAATTGTACTTTGGTTTGTGACAATGTGATTGACAGCGTTTCGACAGCGCACGAACAGTTTCCTTTGCTTCATGACACCGTGTTCGAATCAATTTCGACAGCTCATGAACATGACATTTTTGTGGATTTACATGAGCAAGTTTTCTTATCAGGATTGCCAAATTTTCAATTAAGGCGGCTTTCAGTGCCTTCACGACATTTGCAGGATTATCACGATGACCAGGCGTTGAGCGCGCTACGACCGCGAGGCAGTGTGGGATAGAATTTTGTCACGTTTTCAAAACAAGATGGCGGACGGTAGACATTTCAACGGTAAGTTCAAATGCTGTTTTCTAGTGCATTTCAAGATATCTACATTTTCACCCTATACCGTGTATTTGTCATGTCGAAATGAGATCTTCAACAAAGGTTATTTCTGCAAGAATTCGTAGTCTCGATTTGGACACACTTAAGATATAGGTATGAAGTGTGCATCAAAAAAGTCTAACCACTGAAGAAAACTGTCTTAAAAATATTCATATACAATGTTCAGGAATATATCTAATCAAAAGTTTCATCATTCCCCATCGCTCCCCTTGAGAAATGCCTTTTTAGAAGGTTCAAAGTTTGACATATTTTCCACTTTTCTTATAGGTTGATCTCGGTTTCCGTGATGGCGTCTAAGTGGTGGCATGTTTCAATAGGTGACACCCCTGGCAAACCCAAATCAAAACTCTCTTTGGTTCTTCCTCTAATGCTCCACAACCTTGGACCAGCCAAGAAGAATCAGTCTTAGTCCAATACATCACTCTCTACTGGGAAGACGCGAACACTGACAAGTGGCCATTCACAAAAAATATGAAATTTTGTACTGGTTGTGCTAACGCTATCAACAAAACATGTAATTCTTCAAGATCAGGTATTGATCACCTTGATTCATTTTTATGCCCCTGAAATTATCATCTATATGCATCAGCCATCAGTGTTTGTGGCCAGAACTAGAATGCTCGCACAAAATGCGTGAAATATAAATACTACAAAATAGGTGATAAATTATACAAATTCCTTTGTTTCCTATTGTATAATCAACACTATTTAGTAGTAATTAGTACTATTTGTTTCACGCTTTAAGTGCAAGCACTAATAACCCCTTGTAGAACAAGAGTGGTCAAACACCTGGCAAATGGCTACTCATCGCTTTCAAGCAGAAGAAGATCTGGATATTGTAACCGCCGACCGGTTAGCTCAGTAGGTAGAGCATCGGACTTTAGTGCGGGAGGTCGCAGGTTCAAACCCCGGCCGGACCAACACTCAGGGTCTTAAAATAATTGAGGAGAAGTTGCTGCCTTTGTCTTTCTCCATCTGCAAATCTACACTTCACTCACTAATCTGTATTAGAGGGACGTTAAAGAACCCAACCACTGTTCGCATAAGAGTAGGGAATGATTCCCGGTGTGGGTGGCTAGGCCTTACTACTAACCCATACTAATTACTAACCCCTTGTTCTTGTTCTTGTTCTTGTTCTTGTTCTTGTTCTTGTTCTTGTTCTTGTTCTTGTTCTTGTTCTTGTTCTTGTTCTTGTTCTTGTTCTTGTTCTTGTTCTTGTTCTTGTTCTTGTTCTGGTTCTTGTTCTTGTTCTTGTTCTTGTTCTTGTTCTTGTTCTTGTTCTTGTTCTTGTTCTTGTTCTTGTTCTTGTTCTTGTTCTTGT